GATATCGATATATGACGACTAGAAGTGGACTCAATTTATTTCTTTAAACTAGATGATGATAACCAACGAGACAAAGGCGCGAGTTGCCATATTAATTGCATTGTAAAGCCTTTCTAAGGCGATGTGATGCACCTAAAATCTCTTCACATTTGTGGATCAAAATAGTCATTCAAATTTAACTAGAAGTTTAATTTTTTAAGAAAAGATAAAAATGTTTCGATATCACTAATTTTAAAGCACCGAGATCAAGGTATGATATTTTTCTGGTTTAAATACCGTATGTCCGATGCATGGTGAATATTGTCCGATCCATGGTGAATTCTGACTTATTTCGAAAAAATCGGGTTTTAATGATATTTTCTCTATAAATAGCACACGATTGTGTCAAAAATTTATATTTTAACCACATACTACATGTTAAGTTCCATTTTGATAATACTTCGGTTGGTAGCGATATCGCTAGAACTTGTTGAAGTGCGAGGGTGTCCGATGCATGGTGAATTCACCCTAATATGCACTTCGGTTTTTGATGTGGTTACTAAAAATAGAAATTTCTGTGAAATACTTTCAAAACGCTACTCCTCCTACAGTTTTTCGTTGGATTTCAATATAACTTGGCACAGAAGTAGACTACATTAAGATACATAATTCTATTTATTAATGCATGTTGCAAATCCAAGTGCTACTTTGTTATACGTACAGACCAGTAGAGCTACAGTCTCATCAGAGACTTCTGGTTATTACTAAAGATTGATCATCTTTCTCAAAGTCATCTTTCTCAAAGTCATTGAGTCGCCCGACCGCAAAGCGCAGTGGTTAGAGCGTCTGCTCTAGATTCGCGGAGTAAGGACTTGATCCTTACGTCGCGGGTTCGAATCCCACTGTGGGACGTGGAGACGATCCTTCGAGAGAGAGAGAGAGAAATTGTGGTTCGTTCTACTTTACTGAGTGCTAGGTCCTTAATTATCAAAAATTATCTGACTAACATAAGGTTTGAATTTAATGTTTAGTAGCTTTATAGCAAGAATTAAACATTTGTCCAGTCACATGTAATACGCTGAAGTACTAATTACCTGCTTCAATACATTCTCTACCTTATTCAATTCCACAAGTACATCGGAAATTACGTCTACATGTCATTTTTACACTTTTGTAGCAAACTTTACTTCATGTAAATCACCTTTACGAAGACAGAAGGACGGACAGAAAAATCATGATGCTCCTGGTTTTCGATCCTCTGTGCATAATAACTCCAACATTAAAAATATGAAAAAAATTGAAAAGATTAATCTGCCTGTCTGGTTCTATTCACGGTACAGAATTGAGCTGGTATATAATGCACATTGGAGTTTCTTTGGAAAGTATGAAACGTGCATGTTTCGTTGAATTTGACTAGTGATGCCGACTTGTATGGTTTTAAAAATCGTCACGAAAACTCGAATAATTATTAAAAAAATATCATTTAAGCACTAGATACTCGTGCTTGTCTATGTAAACTTAATTAAAAGATATTCTTTTGCATAAACTCAAAGATCAATTCAAATACCATAATATTGTTGGTATGTTTTTTTCCGACAGGAAATGTCACACAGGAAAATGACTAAAATATTTAGATACCGGGTATTGACAAGTATTGATAAGTGTGCTCGACCTATCTTTATTACGGAAATTTATAAGCTCTTATTGAAATAGTGTGCACATTTTGAAATAGCAGACTTTTTGAGAATATTTTGACAGACTGTGGACTCATTGTGGTTTTGGGATGGCCAATCCATCAGAAGAGTACGCCGAAATAATACTACCAGGCACTGTTTTCATTACAACTGTTGGGATTTTAGGAATCTTTGGAAACATTATTGTAATTATTCTGTACTGTTTTAAAGTCAAAGACGATAATGGGGACCGCTACTTCATCCCATTTTTAGCCTTCATAGACCTGATGGGATCAACGGCAATGACCGCCTACAATGCATTGGATAAATTATTTCTTTTTCGACTTTCCTTCGGAGACATGTTGCAGATTGCTTACATTTTTACTAATGTTCAACGGCTTACTGTCTGCATTTCTACTCTTGGTCATTGCAGTACAGCGTTACAGAAAGGTTTGTCACGCAGTTGATACACAAACCCGTTTCTGGAGGCGATATTCCATTTGTTTAATTGTGTCAGTCTCAGCTGTCATCATGATTCCTTGGTTTGTTTTCTCAACAACCTCCACAGTAACATTGCAGTTTCGAGGACAAACTATTACTGGAACCCTTTGCAAGTTCGTAAATCATGACATTCCTTCTCGGTACTACCCACTGATATTGACATATCTGGGAATTACGTACGCATCTGTTATTGTCATTTTTGTCGCCCTTATCGTTCTGTATGTTCTCATTGCTTTGAAATTGAGAAAAATCTTCCAGGTTACAGGAACGGAATGCGAACCACTCTGCACTGAAAACGAACAAAATTCTAATACCATTTTAGGAAAAACTATAAATATTGGATTACAAACTTCTTTCAATATGATGTATGTTTTGATTGTAGTTGCATTTATTGTGTCTTTTGTTCCGACCACTGCCCTTGTTTTGGTGGCATACGCCCACATGCAATACACGTACTTGAATTTTTCCAAACCTTCTTTAAATTCATTGATCATTTTTTCGCGCTTTGTAATTGTTAATCATTTCCTTAATCCTGTCATTTATACATTTTTTGATGTTAAGTTCCGAAAAGCACTTAATCAAACATGTAAATGTAAGGCCAAGAAGGCAAATTCAATTTTTATGGAGACTTGATTAAACATTATACTAGGTTAGAAGCTAACAGATGGTAGAAAGTATTATGCTTGTACTTTTCCATTGTTGTTTACCCTGTATATATTCCGACAACGATATGAAGAAAGCACATAGGTACACTGTTCTTCAACAACACTTTTTAGAATATTTGAAACTACTTGTAGATATGTAACTGTAAAAGTGAATAATAAGTTAATCAGAAATGCTCGTTACGACAGAGTTGAAATAAAGTTTTGTTATCATTTTTTTTACTCTTGTTGTTGTATTTTATTTTCTTCATAAGATTCAATGCAATTCAACTAAGTATCATCAGAAGTTTATAGTTTTATATAGCCTTATTACTCCCCATTACTCTATTTTGTTTATCATATGATTGAATAAATCTTATCTCTCTGATTGGCTGAGATCCAACATTGTAGAAAAAATACTACGTCATGTTCACCCGCACGTAACATTCACTTTTCAACTCTATATACAACCATTCCCCACAATAAATTAAGGTCCAGGCTTTTTGACATCATAGACAGCTGCTTTTTCAATAGAAATGGTTGTGTCTTAACTTTAGGAGAGGTAAATCGATGTCTTAAGAACAGACTAAATATGGCGGCTGCTTTTGTTATTATAAATCATAGGAATCTCTTTCGACGAGAAAGAATATTTCGAGACAGAAATGATCCAATGGATTATATGGATGATCATGAGATTATCTCAAAGTTTAGACTCCCTCGCCATTTGATTCAGGGTATCTGTGGGGAGATCGAAAACGATATCAGAAGGCCTACAAGAAGATCACACTCACTTCCACCATCCCTCCAAGTCATGGCTGCTTTACGGTTTTTAGCCACGGGGAGTTTCCAAACGGTTACTGCTGACTTACATGGTATAAGTAAAGCAAGCATATCAAGAATTGTTAGGGATGTGTCTGAATCCTTAGTAAAAAATAGTCCAAGATATATAAAAATGCCTCCTGATGAGACTGCAATTACAAATACTGTGTTCCATTTCTCAAGAATAAGTGGATTTCCAAATGTTATTGGTGCGATAGACGGAACACATGTTGGAATTAAGTCTCCAAGTTTTGAAGAAAATGTCTTCGTGAATAGGAAAAATTATCATTCAATTAACACCATGGCTGTGTTTGATGCCAATTTAAAGTTTCTCAATGTAGTAGCAAAATGGCCAGGGTCATCACATGACTCATTTGTTTGGAACAATTCTAAACTTTGTCAAGTTTAGATCATGACCCCGGGGGAAGGGTGGGGCCACAATGGGGGATCAAAGTTTTATATAGAAATATATAGGAAAAATCCCTGAAAATCTTTTCAAGAACAGGAAAGCCATGATTAGTTATATTGATATGGAAGCATCCCCAAGTATTGTTGATTAAAGTTTGTTCAAGGCATCCTCCAGTAGTAGGGTGGGGCTGTTATGGGGGATCAAAGTTATAGAACATTTATAGGAAATATCTTTAAAAATCTTCTTCTCAAGAACAACAAAGCCATGATTAGTCATATTGATATGGAGGCATCCTCAGGTAGTGTAGATTCAAGTTTGTTCAAATCATGACCCCCCACCCCCACCCCCCACAGGTAGGGTGGCAGACCTCTTTAGAATTCCGTTTTCAAGGACTGCAAAGCCATGATTAGTTATATGAATATAGAAGCATCCTCAGAAGTGAAAGTTAATATTCAATTTCATTCAAAACATGGCACCTGGGGGTAGGGTATGCCTAGAACAGGCGATCAAAGCTTTACATATGAACAAGAAGAAATCTGCTGACGAAGAACAGCAGGACCATATTGATTCAGGTGAGCGTTGTGGCCCATGGGCCTCTTGTTAAAGTTAAGGTTTAACTTTATCATTTCTGTAAGACACTTTTTGCATTGAATGTTTTAAAGCTGCAATAAATGTTACAGCACCTGAGCCCACCTCTGATGTTTTTAGAGGTCCTGTTTGCTCTGCTCCCAATTGCAATGGACTTTTGAACTTGATTTCTATTGGTTATCTTCATATTTCATCTATCTACTTGTTCAGTTATAATGAAACATCAATAAAGTTCTCAGTTTGTGATTTTTTTTTATGTTTATCAATGTGTTGGATAAAACATAAAAAAAAAAGTTTACCTACCTAACTACCTGCCTTGAAAAATGTGGGCTGGAGTACTTCAAACAATCTGTATTGAGTTATACCAAAGTCAAATGACCAATTTCAGGTATTTTGACTTACCTTGGATTGATGTATGTGGCTGCCAAACTGGGCTTTGATTGGACCTTGGTGGTCAGTAATCTTGGTTTGAAGCAAGCAGAGATTGAGCAGATACAGATGGACAACCCTTACAAAGTGATTAACATGATCAGTATTGCATTACAAAGATGGAGGGACAGACAAGATGGGCAGTCTGACGAAGTTCCTCTTCAACAACTATTCAGTGCTCTGAAGAATTGTAATCGCATGGACTTAGTGGATGAATTACAACAAAAATACAACATACCTGGTTTGTTGCACTAGTGATAATCAGATAAATTACCTTTAGAAATCACTTACATAGTAAAAAGAAAACTATATTTTGTGATATTGAAATTTAAGATAGATCTACATGTAGGTGGTGGTATGGTATTCTGTTATACTTTATCTGTATAAATATGATGAACACATCGTTACATTGAGTCAAAATTGATTTTGAAGGAGTTTTTAATTCTTTGCAAATACCCAAGTTTAAAAACACTAGATAAAATCCCGCGCAAGCGCGGGGAATTGAATCTATACTACTACGGACAGAAAATATTTTGTAGTTTCTACTGACAGCCTACAGGCTTATAGCAGGAAGAAATACTTTGTTCAAAATCTCGCAGGAAGTAGATGTATGTCTCCACCCCCACCCCACCCCTTTGTAAAAACTTGAAAATTAACAAAATTTTTCATTAATTGACATTTATTGTGAAACCTGTTATACTTTGTTATAGATATTGTACATCAGATGCTCTTATTTCATTTCCGTCAAGGATAAAAGCAGTGAATATGCATATTTTACTGCTAAATTGATTTGGGGGGAAGGGGGGGGGTAAAATTAAAATTCATAGGTACTTGGGTCTTGGTTTATAAATATGTTTGTACCTTACTGATATGTAAATAATGTACTTTACTTTTTTACATATCAATAAGGTATATACATATTTATAAACCAAGACTCAAGTACCTTTGGAAAATTAACTTTTAACGCCCTATGAATAGGCCGAGTATTTGATACAAAAGACTGTTTTCAGAAAAAAATGAAATGTATTGATTATATAAAAGCACAAAATTTTACATCTGTAATTGTTTTTGAACAACACCTTATTCATAAATTTTCAGCCGTAGGAACCGGGGGGAGCACGGGGGGCCGTGCCCCCCCCCCCCCATAATTTAGCCGATATATAGATTACTATAGTAAACATAGATACTATATGCTTGTGCCCCCTCAATGAAAACGTCAGATGACCTTTTTTTTTTTGCTTGTCAGGAAATTTTTGGTAGTGCCCCCTCAACTGTCAACTGAAAATGTATGGCTATGCCCCCCCCCCCCCCAAACTGAAATTGCTTCCTACGGGCCTGATTTTCTCTTTACATGTAAGCAAGTTTATTACGAAGTACAAATTGTACTTCGGGTTCGTTGCCACGATGCTCTCAGTAAGGAATATACAAATTTTACCGATAAATTTATTAGGAAAACCTACTACATACATACATATATTTGTAATAGTCTTTCGATATGTAAATATATTCACAACTTATAGTTTTATCAATGATTTACCATTATTTCAATGACCAATCACACAAAAGCTATTTTTTTTATGTTGTGCAGCTATAAGCGCCTCGTTTTTTTAAACATCGGGCTCGATGCTATATGATGTTCTAGAAGCTTCCGTCAATATTAAGATCGGTGAGTGACGAAAAAATTTGCACATTTCCCTTTTTAATCGGTTATCACAACTTATTTCTTTTATATCATTTAAAACAAGTTTTGATTGAATAATTCAGTCATGACGTTTTATGAAATAAATAAACGATTGCTTGTTGTCAGTTTCATTAAAAATTGCCAGTAACTTAGATCCGCCAACCGGAAACGCCACCGTACTCACGTTTTTGCTATCTCATGGCTGTTTATAGAAAATAAAAGTAGACTTTTAATTTAATGTACGATACTTAATATGCGAGTGAAATCTAAATATAGTTTACGGACATCATTTTGTATCTAGTGTATTGTTAGAGGAGTAAGTAAGAACTCTGGTGCACCCGTTTCAGAGTTTATTTGCAAAATTTATTAATTTATAAGTATAGATTATTCTTTCATTTTTAGAAGACAACCCTAAAGAGGATTAAACTATGGAGAAGCTAGTTTACCAGATAAGGATACAGCACTTATAAGTCTTTGAGGAACAGACTTCTTTATGAATACACATACATTGTAATACATTGTCAGTAAAATTGACTTACATGGAACTTGGTTTAGAAAAAAAAAATTGCAATGATTAACTTCATTCTGTAAGTAATCTTGGGGGACACTGTGTACCAGAAGCCATCAGTAAGAAATTCTTAATAAAGGCATGTGAAATGTATTTTCATCTATATACATCTGTTAATGAACTGTTTGTAGCAAAATTTGATTATAGGAATATAAAATCATCATATGAATATGGGCATACACATTCATAATGTTTAAAATTTCTTGGTACATGGAGAAGTTACAATCTCTATATTAACTATAGGAACTCTTGAAAACAGTGATTTTTTTTTTACAGTTCCAATGATATTTTTGAGTGATTTCCATTGTATTACAACTGTATAATAATTTTTCTGGTTGCTTTTCAGTTAAGTATTTAATTTGATTTATGAGTTATTCTCTGTATCCACTTAAACTCTTTTAGCACACTTGGTCACCAAATTTGATGAAACATTGCCAATATTATAATGACACCAGAAACATATATAAAAAAATTTGGTTGCTTTGTTTCTTGGTTGCCATGAAAAATTGAGATTTTCAGCTACCTTGAATCTTTTTTGAATGTTTATTTAAGACTAAGAAAATCAAACAAACCATTCTCACAAAAGCATGACACCTTGATGTCATTTATGTTATAGAGAAACTATTCAAAATATATAAGTAGGTGGTAATTATGGGTACATTTGAAATATATTTAAATGCTTAAAACTTGGTGAGCAACACAAAAAAATAAATTTGACCTTACATTATAGGTATTTTTTATAAGGCAATATTATTCTAAAAATAACTTTCATGGTTGCCTTGGTAACACAATAGCCACACAAAATTGCTAAGATTTGGTTAATGCAGCTATCAAGAAAAAACATGGAAATTCAAGACTGGCAAATATACATTGTTAGGACGGATAACATAAGAAAAATTGGGATTAATTGCTACATTGCAGTGTAACCATGGAAACAACTTACTAGCGGTTTAAAGTGATAATTTTTTTGCAGCTTTTGGAATTATTTCCTTTAAATCAAACATTATTTGACTCACCTTGAATTGTACTTATCTGATATAACTAAAGTTGAATATCATATACATGTACTGATGTTTAACGAAGAAAATAACACTGTTGCTATAGTTACCAAGGAGGAAAATGTTCATTAAAACCTATTTAGTAGCTTCTTGCATCCAGTTAGAGATTGTGTAGTAGTCAAAAATATCAATCATAAAATTTTTGGGAATCTACATACCAGTGTACGTATCCAAGGAATCAAATTTTTCCGTTTTTATGCATTTTTTTTCTACAATTTCCATTGCAATGCTCTTTTTCAAAAATTTAATATTTGAATTTTTGTAATGTGAGAATTAGAAGCCATTGCATTTAAAAATTGATCAACAGTTATATTGAAATGTGCTAGATAGGATCAGATTAAAAACATAACGGTAAATTTGAAATTTCTTAGCAGTATTAAAACCAGAGCAATCATTGCCAACCAATATCGTATTTCTTCCTTGGGATATGTTACACTGAATTTTATTAATTGGATGCTTTTTAATTACCGTAATAATTGCTTTTGTTTTTGAGTGTTTTTTTTTAATTTTTAATTTTTTTTTAATAAAATTTAAAGAATAAAATTATTAAGTTTGAATACTTTGTTTCCATAGTAAAGTATGTAATACTAGTAGTTAATTTTCCAAATATGTTTATCTTGCATGTAAGACATCAAGCATTTTACTTTTGGAAACAGTCATTGTCACTTGTCTGCATTCTTGCAAACGTTAACCATTGGACCCTGAACATATTCAAAAATGCCAATTTTCAAACTTTAGGGCATGTTGCCATGGTTACCATGACACATAGCAACCAAATTTGATTAATTTGGATTTATGATATCAAAGACTTTTTATCATAGAGAGTGTGGAGAAATTCTTAGACTATGTGTACCACAGCTTGCTATATAGGTATAAAAGAGAACAGCACTCAATATTACAGCAAAGAGAAATTTTAAGGCTAAGTCGATGAGTGATTTAAAAAGCTTGTGTTTTGTTGGGGTGTTGTGAATAGTATTGGAAAACAAACATTTTATTGATGCAGTATTCATAATTAATATATATGTACATCAATCAATGCATTTGAGAGAATGAACTCATCTGAATGTTATTCATTTTGTGATTCTTTACAGTGTTCTCAATGTATATGTAAAAAATGAACTCATTTGAATGTAATTCATTTACTAGTAGTGATATTTTTACAAGGTTGATGAGGTGTGTTTAGTTGTGAGTTAAACACTAGTATATCTGTCATAGAAAGTTGATGTATAAATGGTGTTGCCATTGCTTAAATTGTTGCATATTGTGAAACTGCTTTGAAATTAACCCCAGTATTTGAGCTAAATGGGTATTTCTAAAGTTATTTATCTTTTCACTCTTGATCTACAGTGTATTGTCAAGGTATTTTCATATGGAGATTTCAGGTTCAGCAAATTGATTACTCTCAAGTGGTTTTCACAGAAACTATTGATAACATTATATGTGAAAAAATTACATCATAGTTCATGATATTATAAAAATCTTATTACTGTATTAGTAAACAATAAATAAATTTTATGCAGTATGTTTTATTTTCAATATTTTGAACAATATTTGAATGTTGGTGTTTTATAATATTATCTGTTTCCATGATTATCCATCGGCCAGCAGTAAGTGAAGTAATGATAGCTTTGTAACATTTTATTGTTCCTGTACTTTTCAGGTAAGAGTGCTTAAAGCAGGGTATCATTTTGAGGTCACATGATGAAATGTCGGAATTAATTTTTCTGATGCTGCTGATTTATAAGAATGATGTGCCAATTTTTAGGGCACCGAAGCAGAAAAGTTGTTTATTAACAACTTTTAGAAGCTTTAAATAAAAGTTTATAAATGTTTAATGGAGATATAAGTAAAGTTAATTTCTTAATTCTAGAGGGAAAACATTATTATTATAGTGAGAAATTATACCTCCAACTGCAAAGAATCTTTACACTTCTGACAACAGAAATATTCTAGGAAACATAAAAAAATGTTTTACATACCATACTTTCATTGTAAAATCATCTATAATATGTAGATTATTCATTTTAAGATGTTTCAAAGGATATTTCTGTTTCTTTTCCAAAGATTGTTTTGGTATGGCACGTCAATTATTCCATTTGTATAATTTTCTATTACTTTTGTAATGTATTTGTATGGATAATTAAAGAATACAAATAGAATGGACAATTGAAAAATATTATACGATGCAAATAATGAAAAACAAAAAGGACGATTACAGAATAAAAATAAATATAAAAATTATATAAACAATGCAATACGAAATGAAATATACAATACAGATGTACAATTATAGAATACGAAATCGGAAGATCGAATATTGCAACGTTTGACATGCCTTAATCGTCGCAGTTGCGTAGATGTGTGTACGAGGGGTTATCAAAAAGTTCGTGGACTAGCGTCATAAAATTAAAACCGCTTTAGGTACATCAATGAATTTTTACACATTTAGTTAGCATCATCTTTTCTATCTATAGAATAAACCATAAATCATAATTTTTATTTTTTAATAAATTGTTAGTGTTTTTGTAAGCAAAGGTATGTCCAGGCGGCGCAACCTCTAATATGACGTTTTTTTCTACCTGAGTGTAACAGAGAAAAACTCTTTAGATATGAGTATTTGTCATCAAAAAATCTCGTTAATTCAGGCATGTGGTACGAAACATTTGTTCAGTAAAATTTGCAATTTTTACCACATTCTGTAATTTCTATGAAATTTTATCATAAATTTTATATGGAGTGTCCAAACAATTATGGGCTTGAAAATAACGTCAGAGAGGGGGAGGGGTTTCTTTTTCAAACACTCTATAGAGTTTTGCTCCTGGAAGAACTGGTATTGACCTAAGGAATGTTTAAACTGGCTACAGAAAAATAAAATGCATCCAGAGTACTTGTTTTTTAATGCCCAAAAAGATTCAGAGAGATGAAATATGCACAGTTTGTGTCGATTTGTAGTCAGGGTGTCAAAAGGCAGTCACGTCGAAAATTGACGTTGATCATGTGTGGTAGAAATTGAACTCCAACAAGCTAAGTATTCTGGCATAATCAAGTGAGGATCTTTCCCCATATAAAGATCCATTTACAATATTATATGCATTGAAAACAGCTGCTCATGACATTGTAAATTCATATAAATAAGACGGGTTTAAGTCCTTACTTAACTCCAGGTAATCTCATCAAGATAAGTGTATGAGGTAGAGAGAGCGGACATTAAGAAACAATGACGTTAAGCGGACGTCATGACACTAAACGGCGACAGCGCCGGGTGATCACATTAAGTCTTTTTAATTTTAGAATAATGTGGCAAATTATCAACGTATCAAGCTAACATTTTCAACATTTCTTAAACTTTTGTTGTTTTATGTTCCGCATAAATTTTGTAAGCAAAGACTACAAATTATTAATTTTATCGCGTCAGTCCACGAACTTTTTGATAACCCCTCGTACGTATACCATACAATTGTAAAATTGTCGCCCTCGTGGCACAATGGTTAGAGCGTTCGCTCTAGAGTCGCGGAGTAAGGAGTTGATCCTTACGTACCGGCTTCGAATCCCACTGTGGGACGTGGAGACCGGTCCTTCGGATGAGACTGTATAAACCGAGGTCCCGTGTCGCAGTAGGTGCTGGCACGAAAAAGATCCCTCACTGCTCCATGGCCCTGAGTGCCGAGTATAGGTCAAAATTTGCAGCTCTCTACTGGCAAGTGGTGGCGTCTCCATATGAGTGAAAAATTCTCGAGAGGGACATTAACGCCAACCATACATTTTCAGTGGGGGGGGGGGGCACTATCAACTAGCAAAAAAAGAGGGTCATCAGACGTTATTATTGAAGGGGCATACGTGAATACGTCAAATACGTGAATTCGTAATACGCATTTGAAATAATTATATTTACAAATCCTCTGAAGTTTGTTGCAACTTTTATTTGTTATAATGGTTAATTTAAATAAGATTAAACAATAATTTTTGAAATAGATAAATAATTTTTAAAATATCAATTGACGAATGGATTTTGTTCTTTACATTATAGATTATCGCAATGGTTTAATCAATTAACGTGCAATAAAGAGTCATTATTTTTTGTAATCATTTTAACTCTGTATGCAAATGTGATTATTTCAAAAAATAGATTGTCTAATGAAGCTTGAGTTATCTCTTTGGAAGTGTACAAATTTCAAGATCATTTTAAATGTATTTTTTTTCAAGGTGAGAAGGCCAACAGAAGTAGGGATAAAGATGAGATGGGATTATAATTTTACCCAACAAAATTTATAATGTAACATGCATGTATTTTTGTTAACAAATCATCTTTATGAAGTGATGAAAATAATTTTAAAAAATATCATTAATGATATAATTAAATTTTTAATTGAAAAAAAGTTCCCTGAAATATAATTAATAAGCGGATACTACAGAGGGAAAAGTCCGTTTCCTTTTCTCTTTTATACTACATTAACTATTGTTTCATTTGGTATACACCGTACATGTAAAGGGGATAGTTGTTAAAATTTTTGTGATGGCCAATTTATCTCAAGAGTTCTCTGAAATATTGCTACCGGCCACTATTTTCGTTACAACGACTGGGATTTTAGGAGTGTTTGGGAATATCATAGTAATCGTCTTGTACTGTTGTAAAGTGGAGGACGAGAATGGGGACAGATACTTTATTCCCTTTCTAGCATTCATTGATATGTTGGGATCTATTTTGATGACTATTTTCGATGTGCTAGCGAATTTTTTCTCTTTCAGCTATCCGTCGGAGACATGCTGCAAATGGCTTAATTTTTCACTGATGTTTAGCGGTTTTCTTTCGGCATCTCTTCTCTTGGTCATTGCGGTGCAGCGTTATAGAAAGGTATGTCACGCAGACCATGGCCAATTCACGCTGTTCTGGAGACGGTTTTCGATTTGTTTAACTGTTTCAATCTCAGCCGTTATCATGTCTCCATGGCTTATTTTCTCTGGGACCTCTGTAACTAATGTTCAATTTCAAGGGCAAAATATCACAGGGACCATTTGCAGGTTCGTAAAACATCACATCTTCCATCACTACCATATGATAGTATTTTTATATTTTGGATGTATTTATGCATTGACTATGATCATTCTTGTTGCTCTTATCGTCCTTTATGCCTTTATTGCACTGAAATTAAGGAAAGTTTTCCAGAAGAGAGGAGCAGAATGTGAACCGCTCTGCAAAGAAACTGGAGAGAATGATGATTCCAGTTCAAAAAATTCTACAAATACGGACGTGCGAACGGGTTTTAACTTGATGTATGCCATGATTGTTATAGTTTATATAGTGTCCTTTATACCGACATCTATTTTGCTATTTGTGACATACTCCCATGTGAACTATCTGAATTTACCAAAATCCGCCTTGAATGCATATCTGATTTTCGGGCGTTTTGTGATCATTAATCATTTTGTGAATCCTTTTATATATACATGCTTTGATGTTAAGTTTCGGGAGGCACTTGCCGATTTTTGTC